GAAAATTGTCTTCTCGAATGGAAGGCATTACATTTCAGAAATGTTAATGCATGGTATTTTATTCACGATTGTAATCTATACACTTAAGCCTATTATTTTTCAATAACTTGAATATTCATACCTCACACTTTATTTGGTGGTATTATCCTAGTGATTCCAAATGGTTTTACACTTTGGATATTTCCAAATGGAATTTCCAGATGGGGGAGCTGGGACCCATGTCTCTTGGGTGAATTGCTTCAAATCCCAGAGTCAGTCGAAGAGTCAGGAATCCCATTCTGACCCTTAGACCAGGAAGAATTAAACATGGATGAAACGCCTTACTGTTTCATTTGCTATCACAAGTATAAGCCCTGTACATACAAACAAAAACACATAATTCTTAAATAATCTGGGTGGGTTGGAGGGTCGGGGGGAGTTCTTTTCCTAAAGATCCTTCCTATTGATCCTTCTCTACAGATGAATCACAGAAACCATCACCAACAGCATTTCAGCTGGTGATAATTTCTCACATGGTACAGATGGAGATTTGTATATTGTGTGTGTGTGTGTGTGTGCATGTGTGTGCGTGTGTACTTTCCTGTTTTCCTTGGGGGTGTGAATTTCATGTCCGTCAGAAACGTTCCTTTAGCTCTCTAATTGTCAAGTGTGTCCATATTAGGATACTTGCCTTCCCATAATAAGAAAATCAGTTAATCTATTGTTCTCTGAAGGAAAGTTGTCCGACATACTGGTAAATGAATACCCGCTTACCCTTGAGAGATTGGAGATATGTGTGTTTGCTGATTTTAAATAGGTATTTGGGGGCCACAGATAAAATTGATGGAGAAAAGCTCTGATTCATCACATGCTTTGAAACCCATGGTGGTTTTGTTAGAGAGGAGGAGGAGATTGAGCAACTTGAAATTTGACAAACAAAACATCTGTATGTAGAAGGCAGGTGAATATAAAAGTAAGAGTTTGGGTGGAAAGGGGTAAAGCTGTACCTTCCAATAGCACTTATTGCAGGTAAGTAGCTTACCAGTGCATAACAAAGAGACTCCGAATGTCGTGGGCTATAACATGCACTTTTTGCAGTGTTTGGTAACATTTTGCTATATATACGGAATCACTTCCAGTTAATGCTAAACAACTTGCAATGTTAACTAGGGGTGCACTGATAAAGATTTTATTAACCAGCCCTACTGGCCAGTACCTATCTAATGGCTGATATGCAGCACAACAGCTTATAAAGCAGCATCCAGCCTATAAGTCTGGGGGGGGAGGAAAAAGGGGAGGGGACAAGAAGGGGCTTGAGGGGGGCAGATCAAGGCCCCCACGGTGTGGGAGGGAGTGGGGCAGGGGCAGGCAGGGGCCGCCCCGGCAGGGCG